TCTCTCTCTCTCTCTCTCTTTCTTTCTCTATTTCTCTCTGTCTCTCTTTCTCTCTGTCTCTCTTTCTCTCTTTCTCTCTTTCTCTCTTTCTTTCTCTCTTCCTCTCTCTCTATTTCTCTGTCTCTCTCTCTCTACCTATCTATCTATCTGTCTGTCTGTCTCTCGGTCTGTCTGTCTATGAAACATGTTTCACCTCGACCACCACCACTAACACCAACACCATGTTCATCATTTTCATAGTCGTGCCTCGTCATCATCATCATCATCATCATCATCATCATCATCCTCATCATCACCACTAACCACCACCACTACCACCAAAGGCTTTCGCGAGTACACAACCTTACCATGGTGATAAAGCTCATCGTTTGCTGTGGTCGTCAACCCTGCTCAGAGAAAGTGTGATTACGATATTAGCTACTTCATGTATTAGCTAATGAACTCATCTTTTTGTTGTTTCTTTTTTTATTGGGTGTTTGTCGTCGTCGTCGTTGTTGTTGTTTTTCATTGAAAGGGCGGTTGTTTTTTGTTGTTTTGTTGTTGTTGTTTGTTGTTGTTGGGTTTTTTTTTGGGGGGGGGGCGGAAGGAATTGTTGCTTTTTTTTACCTAGACCTTATGATGCAAGCTTGTTGTAGTTTATGTTTTTTTTTTGCTTTTTTCTCCGTTGTTTTCTGCTTTATTAGGGAGGTTGTGTTGTTGCTCTTGGGGTGTTGTGGTAGTAGTGGGGATGATGGTGGCGATTGGTAGTGTTAGTGGTGCTGTTGTTTTGTTGTTGTGAATGTGGTATAGTTTTTGTTGTTTTTTAATGGTTGAGTCATTTTGTCATTTCTAATTTGTAATGTTGTAGTTTTTTTGTTGTTGTAGTTTTTTTTTATTGATGTTGTCATTTTGAGGGTGTTTGCCATGGGTACGTAAAAAGTGGAAACTGTCATGAATTTTGACAAAAGATTAAGATGGGTGGAGGCAGACTGTCACCTCTACCCAAACTTTCGCCTACCATCGAAAGCATTGATGGGGCTCTTTATTCCTCCCCCTCTCCCTCCCCCAAATAACAAAGGCGACAAAACTTAGTTCATTTAAGAGGCGAGATTCGACCTTGCCTGCCATGGCCGACCCAAGCTGACAGGGATACAGTGTCTCTACAAAAACACCGAGCTACTCCATAAAAATGTTTTCCACACTTTGGAGTTGCTACCCCACAAACACTGGTAATTAGGCGTTCAATTTCGTTAGAGCGTACAATAGATGTGAAAGATTTTTTAGGGAGGCAAACCGACAGTTGTCTATGCTACATGTAGTAGAGGTACCACACACGGCTGAAGGCTGCTGCATTAATTGTTTGTGTTTGAAAAAAATAGCGCGCAAGCAAAAAATCTATAATCAATCAACCAATCAATCAATAGATAAATAGAACAACAGGAAAACAGACAGATGAATTAAGACAGAAATACAGAAATGGGAAAGTAAGTAAGAATAAATAGAACAGTTGTTTTTTGTTGTTGTTTTGTGCAAGTTCTATTAGTTCTGCACATCAACGTGGATCTCTCTTCCACGTCTTCTCGCAATACGTAGACACTGAAAGGGGCCTCTGTAATACGGTGACGCCATGGTCCTTCGGTGGAATGTCTGTGACCCTACACATATACGTACAAAAGACACACGAATACACACAAACCCACACACACACACACACAACGTGCTCAAACACGCAAGCACTCAGCCCCGCGCAAAACTCGTATTTAATTTGGGTTTGCGCTCGTATCTTGGTTTTCCTTTCTCCGTTTCAGTTTTTTCGGTGATCTTTATGAGGCAAAACATTTGTGTTGTTACTCGGCATACACTGTAACTCAGCAACAACAATAACAACAACAATATGCCACAACATACTGACACAGGTGAACAGACACACATGCACGCACACACACACACACACACACACACACACACACACACACACACACACACACGTGCGCACTCAGACACACAAACATTCAGGGCCAGGAGATACTGACAGTCCATCTCTCTTTTTTATTCTTTTCTGCGTTGTAGTTTTGATACTTATTTTTTTAATAAAAGGAGGGGGAGGAGAGCTTTTTTTTCTTATGTAAGAAGGGATACGGAAGGAAGGGTGAAAGAAGGGGCACAGGGTTGCGATTGCGTGGCGTCGAAAATACGATAACACGGGGAGGTCGTAGTTACAACCGCTCGCTTTGAGCTAAAACTCGAGCCACGCCCAGGTGAGAGATGCGGGGCGCGGGAGTTTATCTCCTGATTTCCTCACGCCACTCGAAAACCCAGGACAACAGAGGGGGCTTCTGTTAGAAGAACACGACCCTTGAGAGCCGTTCGTGAAGTTGTGAAATTAATATTTCACGGAACTCTGCTCGAGCTCCATTCCTCCTTTCACGATTGAGAGGCGGTGTTGGAATTTTACGTCTTTTTGGCGACAGCGTGTGGATTCTGGCTGATTGCAGACGTTGATGGGTGGAAATGAGAGACGATATTTGACACCG